TCGCGATTTTCAGCAAAACGGTAAGTTTTATCATAAAAATACTCCAGACAAAAATTGTAGATCATAAAATTATCTACAAAAATCTATGGATGCTTTTTTTTCTACGAGCCACCGTTTTTGAGATATAACGATTCAAAAAGTCGTAAAAGTTGTAATCGTCATAATATGCATGAGTACGCCACGTATATACATTTCTATGGTTGTAATATATGTTGAAATAGTTTTCTAACGGTCATTATAACTTACATTTATAATATAAAATATACATAAGTTATAACTGCATAATGTCTAAATTGACCGGGCTACATATACAGGAAAACAACAGACTGCTTTTAACTCTATACACTTCTCCCAGCGATGTTCCCATCTGTGTAACTCGTCCAAATAGTACTCGGCATTTTTCTCTACACAATAATTGTTTACGAAGGTAATTGCCTTTTCATTAGACGAACATTTTTAGATTAGGGAACAAAAATAAGTCGCTTGGTGCTAGTTCTGCTGAGTAAAGCGAATGGTCAAGCCAGTTCAAACCGTAAATCGTGGATTTTCGCCAATGCAACCGCTGAGATAGTCAATTAAAATAACTCCATGACTATCTCAAAAAGCAGAGGCCATCACTTTCCCAGCCGACAAAAGAATTTTTGCTTTTTTTGGTGCCGGTTCCCCTTTGGCAGTCCACTTTAGGTTAGGTTAGGTAAGGTTAAGTTAGGTTGGACATGTTCATTAGTTCTGCTATGTCTCTAACTTTGATTCGGCGGTCGTCTAGCACCGTTTGGTGAACTTTGGTGATGTTTCTTCGGCAGTTACAGTTTTTGGACGTCCACGACCTCCTTTAAGCTGCCCAAAATTTTACTGTGCTAAATTATGGTGATTGTGATGCCCCCCATACTCAGAATCCAACACATATTTGAGTTGCGTAGGCGAATTGCCTTTTAAAAACGAATATTTAATGACAGCTCGATATTAGATTTTGTCTATTTTCATTAGAACACACCAACTTACTCAGACGACTGTTACATAACAAGTACGCGTCCGAAATGGCTGAAACTTTGGTGAGTAACTGTAGACAGATAAACAACGAAATTCACTAGCTTTTATCTTCGAATGCTGCTAGCTTCATGTTGAGGTAGGAAACTTTTGAGACCACCCTCGTAAATGAGCAAAATTTGAATCTTCAAAATATTATATAGTGTCATCTCCAAAGTATGCACCATATGAGCTGGAAAATTATTTATTAAGGGTTTTTCCACAAAAAGTTATTCCTGATAAAAGTTTGTACATACCTTTAAACTAAACATGCATCAACAAAATACAGTAAAACACACTTAATGTACGAGGAGCCTTCAGATATTTGATTTTGAGACAAGAGTAAAGTACACTTATTTTGAAAAATCTTGGAAAATGTTATTTAAAAAAGTTGTTCAACGTTGAAAAATACATCTAGATTTGAAGTTATGGCCATCTAAGTGAAGTTTTATTTTTTTACCCATTTTTTTTAA